CACTGTTACTTGCTTTAATGGCGGATGTGTGTCTACCTTTGAGTGCAGGTGAGGATAAGTTCGAGCTGCATTTAGTGCAGGTCGAGCTGGAGGCCGTGGAGAAGCAGATCCGCTACCTGGTGGAGAGGCAGACCCAGCTGAGAGAGCGGAGAGCCGCGCTGGAAACATCCCAGGCTGACGCTCACAAGTCCGAGGTAAGTATACAGCCCGCTGCTAACTCTCCCACCACCTCTACTCCATGTGTTTCTCTGCACAGGACCGGTGGACCCAGGACGCGATCTTCCCAGATGTACTTCACTCCAGCGCCGGGACACAATGCACCCTGGGTGCACCCCCCACGGAAGACGCGAGCCAGGCCCCGGGCGACGACCTCTCCCCCTCCGCCGCCTCCAGTCTTCGAGATCTCCACCCGGAACCGCTTCCCTCCCCTCCGCGAGACGGAACGCGACGCTGTGATCATCGGAGACTCCATCGTCCGGCACTACGCTCCCCTCCGCAAGACGGAACGCGACGCTGTGATCGTTGTAGACTCCATCGTCCGGCATGTCCGTGCTACATTAGCTGAAGGTAAAGTGCACACTCACTGTTTCCCTGGTGCTCGTGTTCTCGATGTTTCTGCGCAGATACCCATGATCCTGAAGGGTGACGAGAGCCCCGGAGCGGTCGTGCTTCACGCGGGGGCTAACGACACCAAGCTGCGGCAGACGGAGACACTGAAGAGGGACTTCAGGAGCCTGATCGAGACGGTGCGCCACACATCGCCAGCGACAACGATCATCGTGTCAGGACCGCTTCCCACGTATCGACGAGGACACGAAAGGTTCAGTAGACTTTTTGCTTTAAATGAATGGTTATTGTCATGTTGTAAAGAACAGAAACTGCTCTTTGTTAATAATTGGAATCTCTTATGGGAGCGTCCTAGGCTTTTTCACGCTGATGACCTGCACCCCAGCAGAGTCGTAGTGGAGCTCCTGTCGGACAACATCTCCAGGACGCTGTTACCTGTTTCTGATGCAGAAAAGCTAGTTCATGCATTCATGACCTCTAGACTGGACTATTGTAATGCACTGCTAGGTGGTTGTCCTGCATCTTCAATAAACAAGCTACAGGTGATCCAAAATGCAGCGGCTAGAGTCCTTACCAGGTCAAGAAAATATGATCATATTACCCCAATTTTACAGTCTCTGCACTGGCTTCCTATTAAGTTCCGTATCAGTTACAAAATATTATTACTTGCCTATAAGGCCCTTAATGGGTTAGCTCCTGCGTACCTAACTAGTCTTTTACCAAGCTACAATCCATCACGCTCCCTAAGGTCGCAAAACTCTGGACTTTTGGTAGTACCTAGGATAGCAAAGTCCACTAAAGGAGGTAGAGCTTTTTTGCATTTGGCTCCCAAACTCTGGAATAGCCTTCCTGATAACGTTCGGGGTTCAGACACACTCTCCGTTTAAATCTAGATTAAAGACACATCTCTTTGGCAAAGCATTCAAATAATGCATATCATAATCTTGTACTGCAGTTATATCTGATCAAATGCATATTATTATTCTTTAGTTTGGGTTAAACAAATCAATTTTGCTTGGTTGGAACAGCAGCTACGCTAATTATGTCTCTATTTGTTTCTCTGTTTCTGCTGGGATTGACATCCCGTGGTAACTATTTACACAAGCTTCAGTCTGGATCCAGAACACCTGAGAAGAGATGATGCAACCCCTCAGAGGACCTCAGATGATGCCAACCATGAAACAACATACAGAACTACCACATGTTGCTATACGTTTGATTGCATCATATAATAATTGCTGTTAATAGTGTTCATCATCTGTTTGATGTCTTTAATTGATTTTTCCGTACATTTCTGCCATATGTACATTAACGGACAGTCACCACTGATAAGCTACTACTAAATATTGTAGAAACTTAATTTGCTGTAAAGTTGCTTTGCAATGATTTGTATCGTGAAAAGCGCTGTACAAATAAACTTGACTTAACATAAAAAAGTATTTTGTGGATTATTACTGTGCCAATGCATTTGAAATAGTTCTCCCCGTTGCTATTCCTATGCATCAATATGTACCACTAAGACACTCAACACAATCGTATTATATACAAACGATTCTACCAAATTACTTTTAGACTCGAACCTATATCACCAAGTAGACCTGACAAAGACAGAACGCACAGACTGGGACTTAAATGCATGGGGTAGAGGACAATTAACACGACACACCTGAATCACATGAACACAATCAAGGAGAGACAGAAACTGGGTCACTGAGAACACATGGGGAGGAAAACAGACACTCGGACAGTCCAGGGGTGTGACAGTATGACAGTATTTTTATAATACATCTATATATATATATCTTATATATATATATGTATATATATATATATATATATATATATATATATATATATATATATATATATATATCACACCCAAAATGTCACTTACACCCTTCTGGTTCTCACCCCTCAATATGCACTAACCAGCATACATTTCCTGATATTCTGAACACTGCAAAGCCAAGTAATTTTTTTTGACACATTAAAACACATATAAAATAAACACTTAAATGCCATATTTCCATTAGTCCTTCCATATAAGACTGTTTGGAGATCAGCACTGTGGCGTTTCATTTTTGAATCAACAAATGGTTTTAGTGAATGATTCAGTGACTCATATAGTTCCTGAATCAATGAATTACTTGAATGAATGATTGAATGACTCATTAATAAAGGCATTCACTTGTTGCCACCTGTTGCTATAATAGATGTAACCTGCAAAAAGAGCCGCTGAAAATCTGAAAGAATATATACAGACATGTTCATATTGCTACCCTAAAGCATTTTGTTATTGTATACACAAACTTGCTTCTAAATAAGCTGGACAGTACAAAGTCGTTAGAAGACTGGAGTGTGAGGAAAATGGAGTAAACTATCCACTGCAACGGCTTCCAGCCTTATACATGGCAAAGACTCTTTCTAATGTTATACAAACTTATTTTGAACCGTAATTTAATTTTTATAACATTTTTCTAATGTCCTCCATGGAAAACAAAAATACATTTATTAGTGCTACTTATGTTTTTCAGATTTCAGAGACCTTAACAAATTACTAAAAATTAAATGCATTTTCAATAACATTCTCTGACTGGTGTACACAGTAAAGCAGAATTAATGTGATTTATTTTATTATTTGTTATTACAATGGGCACTGTATCAAAATAAAGAACATTCTAGCATTTATTTTTGCATAGCAAAATGCATGAGTGCAGAGAGAGAAAAAAAGTATGAAGTCCCTTAACTACTAAATTACAGTTTAAATCATTAAGTAAATGATTAAGCTTGGTGAGGACACAGAGCATATCCTGCCTTTCTGAAAAATAAATTATCCTTTGCTATCTTATGTTGCACAAATCAGCTCACCAAACAGATCAGCAAACGATATCAGACCCACTGAAGCTGCATTTCCATGACTTATAAAAACCAGCCTCAGATGTCAATGTCACTTTATTGGTACAGCACAATTAAAAACAAAACTTGGTGACCAGTGTGCTTTAAATAATAAAAAAGCATACATCACAACACAACAAAGTAAATAAATAAATAAAAAAGCATACATCACAACACAACGTAAATAAAAAAATAAAAAAGCATACATCACAACACAACAAAGTAAATAAAAAATTTAAAAAAAGCATACATCACAACACAACAAAGTAAATAAATAAAAAAAGCATACATCACAACACAAAGTAAATAAATAAATAAAAAAAGCATGCATCACAACACAACAAAGTAAATAAATAAAAAAAGCATACATCACAACACAAAGTAAATAAATAAAAAAAGCGTACATCACAACACAACAAAGTAAATAAATAAATAAATAAAAAAGCATACGTCACAACACAACAAAGTAAATAAATAAATAAATAAAAAAAGCATCCATCACAACACAACAAAGTAAATAAATAAATAAATAAAAAAAGCATACATCACAACACAACAAAGTAAATAAATAAATAAATAAAAAAAGCATAAATAACAACACAACAAAGTAAATAAATAAATAAATAAAAAATCACAACACAACAAAGTAAATAAATAAATAAATAAAAAAGCATACATCACAACACAACAAAGTAAATAAATAAATAAATAAAAAAGCATACATCACAACACAACAAAGTAAATAAATAAATAAATAAATAAAGCATACATCACAACACAACAAAGTAAATAAATAAAAAAAGCATACATCCCAACACAACAAGGTAAATAAATAAAAAAAGCATACATCCCAACACAACAAAGTAAATAAATAAATAAATAAAAAAAGCATACATCACAACACAACAAAGTAAATAAATTAATTAAAAAAGCATACATCACAACACAACAAAGTAAATAAATAAATAAAAAATCAGATGAAAAACAAATATTACAAAATAATAAAAAAAATTAAAAAACAGGAGGCTCTAATATAAAGTATTCCAAAGTTTAGACCCCTCTTTGGTTTAGTCTAGACGTTGTGATCTTTAATAGTTTTGACTAGCAGATCTCAGCTTTCTTCCAGACTGATATTCAGGCAGAAGGAGGATTTTAAAATCAATTCTGTAACGTAGAAAACTAAGATGTGGGTGATATGTTCCCGTTTTTTTTATACCCATAAAAAGTCTACCTGCTGCATTTGAAACTGTTTGCAGTCGAGAAACGGAAGATTGATTAATAAAGCGAGTTACAATAATCCAGTCTTGAGGAGATCAGAGCATGCATCGCCATTTAAGACTTCTGAGAGTCATACAGGATTTCTTCTGGGTTTAATTACGGAAGTAAAAAAAGTTGTATTGAGCAATGTAATGTGCTTATCCAACATTATTGAGCTTGATGGGCAAAAGAGGAAGAGAATAGAAAGCTATGATAGCCTATGAAACCGTTTATAACTCATGCCGGATATTTTGTTGAAACATGTTTGAGCCAGTCGTCTCAAGAGCTTAACGGATTATGACATTTGCCTTTTGATGAACGCTCATCAGAGTTCTGTCGGGATGTTTTCGAGAGGTAAAAGTTTGTGTCTTACGTTTTGTCTGATATTTCCATTTTTTAAAACATGTCTAGTATGCTATATATATATATATATCATCATGTAGCCTATTAAATACACCACGGTGTACTTTCAGTTTCAGTTTTCAATGCAAGCTATTTGTTTAAAAGCAAGTCATGCATAAATATCAATGTCCATGGCTTACAGGATTAAAACACATGTTATAATGGTGGCAGTAAAAGTAACTAAACTAATCGCATGAATGTTTGCTTAAAAAGGTGCTGGATTGGAGTAAACTCAACACCGTTAGATCCGTGCTCGCGTTCGTACTTAAAGTAGCACATGGTATAATAATAACCCACAATATATGCATATAAGCTTATTGTTATGTCATTATGCCATAAGGGTTATTATGCCACAAAATGTTTAGCACATAATTTGGCATTTTAAAAGTTGAATAATTTATATATAGCCTACCGTGCACTACTATATTTTACTAATGTTATAGATTAACAAATGTTTTAATTAAAGTTAGTTCATGTTAGCTAATGCATTAAGTAATGTTAACAAATGAGACCTTTTGAAATGTTACCTATTTTTAATGTGACAAAGTTAACTTATTCACGACACATACTGGCCATCAGCAACAAATGTATTCGAAAAACAACTTTGAGCACAATTAGATAACAAAAAAAGTTTGAATAACAACAAAGTATTTAATTATAACATAAATATGAATAACATAAAATACCAACAACATAAAACATGCACATCAACTTTTTTTTTTTCCTGGTTTGGTCCTCCATATTTGTGTCCCATATTTCATATTTCTCCCCTGCACATTTAAACTAAATGGTAAAACTTTACAATAAGGTTCATTAGTTAACAGTAATTAACTGTATTAGTTAACATGAACTAAGCATGAACAATACTTTTACAGCATTTAATAATGTTAATTTCAACATTTACTAATACATTATTAAAATCAAAAGCTGTATTTGTCAACATTAGTTAATGCACTGCGAACTAACATGAACAAACAATGATAATTGTATTTTCATTAACTTTAACAAAGATGAATAAATACGGTAACACATGTATTGTCCATTGTTAGTTCATGTAAGTTAATACATTATTAACTAATGTTACCAAATGACACCACAATGAGTGTAAAGTGTTACCAACTAAATCTATTACGGCTGTCGTGAATAAAGTGTTGATTGTGGCATTACATTTAGATCATATCGCATCATATTTATGTTTACGCATTTTAATAACCATGGAATTGAAACAAAATAATGAAATAATTAGTAACTCACAATGTTTGTATTAAACTGTGATCACGTTAAATATAAATTCAGTCGTATTGAAATATTTTACGACACGACACCCATATCTGGTACTTGTTTAAAAAGACGTGTTTATGAAGTGCTTAGTTAATAGATTGCACAAACATTAAGTTCCTTTTAGCCTTAAGCCCTGGAGTTTGCTGAATCACCTGAAGCGGTTTCTCATTCAGTCAAACGATCAAGAACACCGAGACCAAACTGTGCTGGATGAAGTGGACAGTCAACTACAAACCACTGAAACAAAAGATTACATTTTAAAAGTTAACTTCATTTTAAGGTGTCCTCGCTACAGTGTAGTTATACATTTAAGTACTGATTAATATTAATTTGGGCCCCACTTTATATTAAGAGGCCTTAACTACTATGTACTTACATCAAAAATTAAGTACAATGTACTTATTGTGTTCATATTGTATTGCAAAACACTTCTGCTGCTATTGAGGTGGGATACGGGTCAGGTTAGGGACAGGTTTGGTGGTATGGGTAGGTGTAAGGGTGGGTTAAGGTGTAAGGATGGGTCAACTGTGTAATTATACAAATGTAATTACATGCAGGTATTTTTAAAATACAAGTACAATGTAAAAACATGTATGTACACAATAAGTGCATTGCACCAAATTATTAATTTAAATGTAAGTACATAGTTGTTAAGGCCACTTAATATAAAGTGGGTCCTTAATTTGTACTATATGGTTAGGGTTGCATGCATGTAATTATGCATAATTAATTGTATTTATAATAGTGAGTACATGTAACGTGTAACAAGGACACCTTAAAATAAAGTGTTACCTTAACTTAACTTAACTTAGCTTAACTTAACTTAACTTAACTTAACTTAACTTAACTTAACTTAACTTAACTTAACTTAACTTAACTTAACTTAACTTAACTTAACTTAACTTAACTTAACTTAACTTAACTTAACTTAACTTAACTTAACTTAACTTAACTTAACTTAACTTAACCACTGAAACAAAAGATTACATTTTAAAAGTTAACTTTGGTTACACTTCATTTTAAGGTGTCCTCGCTACAGTGTAGTTATACATTTAAGTACTGATTAATATTCATTTGGGCCCCACTTTATATTAAGAGGCCTTAACTACTATGTACTTACATCAAAAATTAAGTACAATGTACTTATTGTGTTCATATTGTATTGCAAAACACTTCTGCTGCTATTGAGGTGGGATACGGGTCAGGTTAGGGACAGGTTTGGTGGTATGGGTAGGTTTAAGGGTGGGTTAAGGTGTAAGGATGGGTCAACTGTGTAATTATACAAATGTAATTACATGCAGGTATTTTTAAAATACAAGTACAATGTAAAAACATGTATGTACACAATAAGTGCATTGCACCAAATTATTAATTTAAATGTAAGTACATAGTTGTTAAGGCCACTTAATATAAAGTGGGTCCTTAATTTGTACTATATGGTTAGGGTTGCATGCATGTAATTATGCATAATTAATTGTATTTATAATAGTGAGTACATGTAACGTGTAACAAGGACACCTTAAAATAAAGTGTTACCTTAACTTAACTTAACTTAGCTTAACTTAACTTAACTTAACTTAACTTAACTTAACTTAACTTAACTTAACTTAACTTAAATGCAGCTGAGACCTGTGAATAATCTGCCCCTGTAGCTATAAGTGTGTTCAATGATAAAGTATTAACTTAAAGTCATCATGAAACGGAAGTTGTAGTCTTTTCTCCCCTATTGTGACGTATATCTGAGTGAAACGGCTTCTGGAACAAGAACAAATGTAAATTACTAATAAGATAAGAGAAGTTTCCTTTCGTATTGTCCATCGTGTATATCCTGTTAATACCTTCTTAAATAAATGTATGTTTTGCTTGCTGAATTGCAGCATTACTTTGGGACTATCTTTAACTCGTGTAACAAGAAGGCTTTAAAAAGTATTTTAATATTTTCCTTTGATGTCATCTCTCGTGATTAGTTATATACCCCTGTAGTTTTTTTTCTTGTTTTTTTGTTTATTTGTTCTACATTGTGACTGCTTTTATCTTTGTCTATATAATGTTCTTAATAACAAAACAAAAAACAAGAACAAATGCACTTATCTCAGTTAGCAGATGATACAGTGCTGTTCTTGAAAGATCACCATCGGGTCTCAGCTGTTAGCAGCTTAAAGTAGCAGATGCCTCCTTTGTTTATCATTGTCCATTAAAGAAGTATTGCTGAGATCCCAGTGAGGGAATCAGTGACAAAAGGTCAAAAATCTAGGTGCGAGTTAAATTCTGAAGACAGAATTCAGAAGACCAAGGCAAAGTTGAATCACTGCCTTTTGAGGGATATTTGTCCCTAAAAGAAAGAGTAAAGCTGCGGGTCTGTCATTAGCAGATGATACAGTGCTGTTCTTGAAAGATCACCATCGGGTCTCAGCTGTTAGCAGCTTAAAGTAGCAGATGCCTCCTTTGTTTATCATTGTCCATTAAAGACGTATTGCATATAACGAGATCCCAGTGAGGGAATCAGTGACAAAAGGTCAAAAATCTAGGTGCGAGTTAAATTCTGAAGACAGAATTCAGAAGACCAAGGCAAAGTTGAATCACTGCCTTTTGAGGGATATTTGTCCCTAAAAGAAAGAGTAAAGCTGCGGGTCTGTCAAGATTAGTTCATGCTGCACTTCACTCAGTGTTTCTAAGCAGACGTGTAAAGCTAGTCTTTCCTTGGAGAAACAAAACACATTCTATCAGAACATCTACAATTATGAATACATATGTATAAGGTGGTTTGAATGTCTACATAACACTTTGAACATTAATTGGATTAGACATTTTATTCTAAACCCTAAACAATTATTATTATAATTATTATATAAATAACATTCTGTTCTGTTAATGCATTGTCTGCTGGTTTATGTAGCTTTTTTCAGTACACTACATTAAGCATGCCACTACTGTTAGACTTTGAATGTCAATGTGCAAATGAACACCTGGTCACTCTTGTGGGTTTGCTACTGTTACTATTAAAAACCATTGAAGGGTAAAAACATGGCAGGCAGACATTGGTATGATGAAAGCAACACAGCTACAATAAATAAAACTGATAATGGGTGTGTTAGACTTATAGGGTGCGAATAATCAAGCATTGACAATAAGCAGGTGTATTGGTGACAACATGGAGCCCCCAAATAAAATTCCGCTTAGGGCCCTGAGTATAGTTCACTGGAATATTGATAGGTTTATTATGGAAGGCCATCTGGACTAGCAAACAAAGAGAAGGAAGTAACTTTTAAAAATTTACACAGATACTACCCAGTAAATAATTTTCTTGTAAAAAAGAAAAAGGGATATTGGGTTGAACTGTTCCTTTTGAAATATAATGACTGAATTTTTATTTCATTTATTTTGGCATTAAGGCAATTCTGGAAAGATTTATCCAGATTTATAATTATTAATATTGACTCCACTTTTCTTTGTGCTTGGAGAATTTGGTTTTACTAATATTCCCGAAAATTAAAGACAATGATGCTACATTATAAATGTAATTTTCATTTTTGCTAAATCTCATATTCACATGTGCAAATTTTGTGAAATCCAACCTTTGTTTTTGGTTCTTGAAAAATAAATTAAGTTATATATCCAAACAATTTTTTATTCATATAATAAGAAAGCAGTTAAGACAATGTGTATCTGTATTATTGCAGTTCTGACAGTATAATGACTATGTCTGTTCTGTTCTTAAATTTTAATAAAAAAAATAATAAATGTAGGGCGGGACTTGATTTTGTCCATTGGGAACTGACTGGCAGTAAACACACCAGAGAAGAGAAAAGACGTTAGGACGTAAGGAGGGGAAGATTTTCTGTTGTACTTGTATTTTAAAAATAGATTGCAAAGCACATGAAAAAATTTTTTTTATAAATAAGAGCATGCAATTAGTCTGTCAATACAATGCATGTGAAAGTTGCATTCGTTATTATTCGTCATCACACTCTTATAGGAACAACCATCTGGAGGCAAAACAAGTCAAGTATACACTAGTGACGTTATTCCCTACTGCCAAAGGCCTAGGCTACATACCCCAAAATACTTGCCTGTTAGGGCCAGACTCCTGGGCCCGGGGTAGAGCTCAAGGCTTGGAATCAGGAATAGATTCCTTTAAGGGAATACGACCAAGAGCCTAGAATCATACTAGTCTTGGCCTGTCACACAGGGGCTACCGCACGTTTCTCTTTGTATGTGCTGAAGGAACTGTCTCAACAGACCCTTAGTAGCAACACCCTGTTAAGTAGGTATCCAGAGGATACATAGGAGGAGTGGTGCCCAAGGCGGAACCGGGGTTTTAAACCACTCAGAAAGAGCACGAAGTTGTTGTGCGTAGCTCTTACTGTACAGAATTTTAGAAAAGTGGGCAAAGCATAACGTGCACACTTACCGCTTATGTGGATTTTAGAAAAGTGAGCAAAGCATAACATGCACACTTACCAGCTA